TAAGAACTTATCTATTTATCATTCAAGAAGTTGTCAGGAAGGTTCCGATTGTCTCAAACGTCCCCAAACATTTCAAAAAACCAACGAGTAATAGTAATAGTTTGTATTTAGTTATGCTCAACTTGATACTTATTCCCTACTGCACTACTGATTACTTAGTTTATATATTTATTGCCGTTTCAATAAGTAATGTATTTTCATTTCTTAAAACTACAAAATAAGAGTACTGAAATCGAACATAAAACAGAGCATAGTTTTACTGTAACTATATCAACTTTACTTAATTACTACAAAAACTTTACAACTAATATATTACATATCATTAAATATAAAGCACAAATATCATATCATCATTGACATAGAGCAAAAAATACCGTGCATAATGATTTCTGATAAGGTAACAATAATATATAAGAGGCAAGTCAACTTTGAAGGCTGAGCCATATGACTAAATTGAATGAACGAAAAGCACTTAAATAATATTATTTATCCAAAACCGGAAAATTTTTAGACCAGAAATTGGAAATTATTCACTAAAATAATAATATATGGTAGATATTAGTAGTGGATAAAAATCGAACCCTTATAAGTCACTCAAAATCAGTTTTGTAATACTGTTTCCAAATTTAATTTCATTTGCTGAGCACATATTAAAGCACATAAGCTTTGTTTTCTACTGATGGCTATAAATCCAAAGGAAAAGTTGTGCTGAGGGATGGTTACTTGCTAACGAAATATTTCATAAACCGCACTTCAGATGTAGTTATATTGTATGGACTAAATGAATAACTTTTAACTTCTCATATTTGAAGTAAGTTCTAACTTCAAGCAATTAGCTATGAGAGCAAGCTTGGCTGGATTAAAATGTCTTATCTTAAATTTATAAAATAAAACCACTTGAGTTTTGTAGAAAATCATCTTCAGCAGAATTTTAAAAATTGCCTCATTTCTCTGTAGATAATAAATTTGCTCAAATCTCACTGCATGCAAAAAAGTATTTGAAAACTATTAGTCACTGGTTTTTGAAGAATAATATTTTTTCAAGTTTTTGTGGTCCTATAACTTACAGTATTGCATACGTAAAGGATAAATTTATGTATTTACTGTTAATGACCATTAGATGTGATTTTGAATCACTAAAAATAAGACAACGTTATTTGCCTTGTTTTTGAAAACTAAATATCTGTTTTTCTGGATATACCTTCATTTCCGAAAAAAGCTATGGGATTCTTGATTATCAAGTAATTTAAGATTTTTGTCTCTGAGCGATTTTCGTTCCAGTGCTCATTAAATTTGGATTTTCAGAGTAATCGTTTTTTCAAATTAGTTCTGAAATAAGCATTTGAAGAAAAATAAAAATAAGCAAGACCTGCCAGGCAAATACTGCAGATTTATTTGACATATTCCATCAATGCCTTAGTAGCCCTCGCAGCTTTCAAATACTTTTCTTGTTGTTTTATTTGGTTTCAACAATGATCGTTTTTATTTGAATTTGCTACATAATTTGCATAAATATTTGTATCAGCTGATTTCCAGTCTTATGATGAAATGAAATTTGCAAGGAAAAGAGTTAAAGTTTTGTCACACTGATTTTCAAAGTAAACTTCAGGTTCAAAAACGGATTCAGCAAAATGACACTTAGAATATCTTGTGATTGAATGATTTGTAATTATAACTTGTAATTATTCAGCTACACGATGTAGTAAAATGATAAGAAATTTGATTTATTTCTCATAAAATGATCGTTTTTAGTTTGCGCAATATATATTTCTTTGAGAAATGTGTTGCAATACAAAATGTCACGCAAATTCTGATTAAATTTATTCTATCGATCTTGCCGTGACTAAAATTTATTAGAGTGTATTTAATTACAAATAAATTAAGTGATCCCACATACATTTATAAAAACAAATTTTAAAATGTTGCGCTACTATTTTATTTTGATAAATTAAATCACCATGAATGACAAAAATATGCAAATCAAATTATTTATGTCCATTAGCATTACAGCATTGAATATCTGTTGAGTTTGCTGCTATTCACAAGGGAGTCGATTTTGGGTCTTCCTTCAAAAAAAGATATCCGGAATTAATAGTCGGGACTGAATCGAACGTTTATCCTCATTTTCTTCGATTGCACAAGAAATCTTATGGCTTGGCGAAATGTTTTCTGTTGTCTCTTTCATGAAGGATATTGATCATTGAGTGCTAATAATATACAACTGCATAGAAAAATACAATGAATCTTCAGCACTGCC